ATATATATATATATATATATATATATATATATATATATATATATATATTTTTTTTTTTTTTTTTTTTTTTCAGAATATAATACTCTGGCAAAGGAATAGTGCACATGTAGAAGCCAGTGAATTCAGAAGAATGGCAAATAGAATGAAGAGGGGACAGTGTTTAATGAGAAGAGGTGAAGCTGGAAATGGAGGTGGAGGTCATATCATGTGGGGTTTCCTCATAGACCATGGCCGGGAGTCTGGGCTTGATCCCAGAGGTAATGTGGAGTCACTGCAGAGTTTCATCCTTGGGAACAGATTTCACTTTGGAAAAGCCACTCATACTACAGTATGGCGGATGGGCTGAAGAGGTCAAAGACTAGAAGTGGGACCCAAGAGGCAATCTATATAACAAAATGACTATGTAACATAAAACACACATGCTTGACACATCTTAGTAGTATGGTTCACTGAGTACTAGAATGTGAGTAATCTGTGCTACCTTGGAGAGAGATGAACTAATGAATTCTATGCAGGAGGAAGTGTACAAGCAGAGACTGATCACCTGTTGACTACCTGCAATGGACAGGAGGCCAACCAGATGTCCTTGAAGATGCTTTATAATTCTGCAAGTCTATGAAACCTAAATACCTCTTCCTAATGTAGATCTCAAAAAGGAAAACCAAAAGTTAAATAATTAGGACTCTCCCAAAAGATGAAAATAAAATATGTGAATGATGGTGTAAGAATGAATATACCTCTAGGAAAATATCTATTAGATCTTAGATCCAATCCAGGAAAAGCAGAGATATGATTTTCAGGTGACTATGAATAATGTACAATTTATTGAAAATAATAACTTTCAATCATCTTCAAGAAGATATGCATTGCTTTTGCTTGCTTCAGGATCAGATATTCAAGTGCTTGGTCCTCAATTATTGTGTTCACTTACTGTTCTCAATGTTCTGCTTAGATTTCTCGATGTTCTCTGCTAACCATCAGTCTGTCTGTCTCTCCCTCCCTCCATCCTCCTCAATTCGACACTTGCATGTGAAATTCAAGGTGTAATTCTATTTTATTTCTTGAAATAAAATAAGAGGAAGTGGAAGACGTATATCACATACAAAAAAATCTTTATAGGAGGTGCTGGGGGTGTCGCTCAGTGCAGAGCATGAGCTATATATGCAAGAGGCCTACAGTTTAATCCCCAATACCAAAAATAAACAAATAAACAAACAAACAAACAAAATAAAACCACAAAGAAAAAACTCCTTATAGTTGAAATTCTGGAGGATCATCTAGGAAGTCACCTTCACTGCAAGGGCCAACTGAATTCCATAGGGAAAATACTCAGGAGTAGAGGCTGCCTATTGATTAAAAACCACCCTAACTTTCTTAACAAAGATATTAATGTAATTCCCGAAAGTTGATGGTAGGAGGTTCCTTCCTCACACTGCTAAGCCTTTAGGAAGAATATTTTCATAATATCTCAAGCAGTTCATCTTTTTTTCTCATCACGTTTTTTCATCATCTATCAGAAGACTGTGCAGATCCAAGGTATACAGTATTTTCCATAAGCACTATAATTTCCATTGTTAAGAGAAACTAAGGCAACTGAAATTTGAGAAAATAAAGAAATAATTCAGACTCAAGAAAATCCAAAAAGTGACTCCAACTTGACTTAAGCCAATCACATGACTGTTGTTTCTCCCCTACATGGTTAGGAAGGCACCTTGAAAAACTCAACAGGTTCTTAGTAATAAGTCCATTCTTATGGTTAATGAAATTATCAATAATTCCTAAATATCCTCCAATAACTAGTTCATATTCAAAGTTACCCAAAACTCTTCCAAAAAATGAGTTTTTATAGTTGGTTTGTTCAAATTAGTGTTCTACTAGTGTCTTTCATGCTGCATTTGGTTGTTAGGTATCTCTAGTCTCTTTGAACCTAAAACAATTATCACCACTTCCTCCTTTGTGTCTCTTTAACCCACTGACCTGTCAAAGGCACCAGGTTACCTCTCTTTAGACATCCCACAAATTTGCCTTCTTGCTTCTTGGTAGTCTGACTAAAATGTCATTTAAGTGTGACTTTTCAAGTTCATTTGTATCTCAGATTTTCAGGAACTTTGAAGATTTAGAACCTCCTAATCTGATGCTTCCTTTGCAGATAGTGGTAGAAGCTGTTCTCTGGATTCCCTGAGAAGTGCTTCTCAAACTTGCTGAGGACTGTCATGACACCTCACCTGGGCTACTACAACAGTATCCTAGTTTGTCTAGTTTATTCTCTTCTTGTCCTCCCTTCACTCCACCCCATCACATTCCTCTCTCTTCATGACATCCAGCATGATACTTTCAAATTGGAATAGACTACACCCTTCTTGAAACATCTCCAGTAACTGTACTTGGAACAAGAACTGAAGGTCTCACCTTGATCAGCCTGACCCACCTGATCTCCTTTCTGCCCACATTTCCAACTGCATCATGTACTTCATTTCTCTTTGTTGAAGACACCTTCTTTCCAGGGCACCAACACATAAAATTCTCTTCTACCTAGAATGCTTTTCCCTCAAACATCTGTACTCATTTATTATCATTCAGGTCTTAGCTCAAAGATGAGCTTAAATGGCCCTGATCCAACCATCCAAGCCAAACCAGTCTCCCCACTCCCTCATTTCAGAATTTTATCTTAATCATTTCCATTATAGAACTTGCCATACTGATAACATTTATCTGTATACTAGATTATCTCTCCTGTACTTTCTTATGAGTTCTCACTACCTGACATTTTCCAAGTATCTATTCGCTTGTTCAGTGCCTTTCAATTTCCATTTGAATGTCAGCACTATCAGGGCAGGAACATGCTCTGTCCCCATCTTCAGCATGCCCAGACTTGTGCCCGACAAATAGTCATTGTTCAATATATCTTGCCAAACAAATGCTCACCAAAAATTTACTAGATTTCTTATATACAGCACAAGTTCCTAGATTGCAACCACTCGGTAATTTTATATTAGGTTAAAAAAATGCAATAAGGTATAGGCTATAACAAGATCTAAGAAAACCTCATACTTTCTTTTAAATCAGAATTAAACAATATTCTCATATCTTAGAAAGAATTCCTCTAACTTTGTAACCACCTTACTTCTTATGTGTAGCAAACAATTCAACGACATCAACAACAAAATGACTTATTTTCCCAGTGCTTCAAAGCTAATATGCTTTCATTATTTTATAGAAAGAGAAAAATGTATGCATTATTGTGTGTTCTGATAATTGATTTTTCACATGCAGGCACAGTTGAATATTTGCACTACACTCATTATGCAATTTATATATCAAGATAGAGGTCATAATTTATTCACTATTATCCCTGGTAATTATTATTGAGCATTTTAATTTTCAATACTTAAAGGCAAATGTATTCCCTATGAATCCAACAAAGGAAAAATGCTCACTAATAGAGTAAATTAACATAATGGACTCTATGAATTAAGCTAATGACTTGTTTTTAAGTCTGTAACACAAAAACCAATGAAATATAATAGATTAGAAAATTACCACCTTTATCACTGTTGACTGACACACTGTGAACACAATTCCACCATTACTTACTTCCATCAGTAACTTGAATCCTTCTCTTTTCTTGATTTCTTCTACTAGGTACCTAAAATTAGAAGTAACAATAATATTTATAATTGCAATCTGAAAATGCCATGAACACAGTTGACAAGTCTGTTATTTCTGATGCAGAGACAGGACTTCCACATAAGAAGATAGAGCTAAGAGTACAGGTACAGGCACAGATATGGATTTGAACAGATAATTCATGAGCCCACTGCAGTCCTCTGGGTCTCCATGGAGAGATTCACTTTTTAATTATATCATGTCTATCAAACATGTTAACATCAGCTTTTAACTGCAGTGTGAAAGGCAAATAAAGGAGATTGGGTATATTTCTCTGACTATGTGGTTTTCACATCAATATTACAGAAGGGGGTTTAGCATAGACACTTAAATTACCTCTCTTGCTTGGAAGAAAATGTTTTGGGTACAGAATCCTTACTTGTAAGTTAATTTAAGATCAACATCTTCTCCCAAGATAATTAGTATGATGTTAAGAAATAAATGGACTCTAGACATTGGCAGAATATCTTTGATGTCATCTCAAATAAAAAGAGAGTTATCAACTAGAAGCAAAGGAACAGGTACATGAGGTATGGAATATGATTGGGAAAAAACTAAAATGACATTAGGAATATAGAGTAGAATAACATTGACTCTTCTTCCCAAGCCTGGTTTTTTGTCTATATAAAAAATAAATCTGAAATGTTTGGCCTTGAAAACTAGTAATTTGATCAGAAGCCTTAAAAAGTTCACAATTTCTGACCCAGTGCTCAAATTTGGGGGTAAAAGGTAAATTAATGGTCAAAAGTTCTGAAAGAGATATGTATTTGCAAGAGATTTATTGTCATCGTAAATATAATACCAAAAGCAGAAACAAAGAAAGAGGAAAACATCAAACCCAACAATAAATAAGGACTGATGTGGAAAACTGTGGTCTTCTCATGGAATTATGGTACCATGACTATGTCACTAAATAATGTATCACCAATTAATTACTGAAGAACACACACAAAAATGTTCTTCTTGGGCCCCAACTCCCTAAGCTATAAAACTGGACTAAAACCAATCTTTCCAAGTTGAAAGTATCATTGTAAAAAAATTGAATAAATCCATACACAAAATGTTGTAAAGTCAAAAAGCTATAGAAAGAGAGGGTATTTATTATCACATTATTTACTAAATGCCATTCTAGAATGTGTATACAGAATGCCTTAAGCTACAACACGCTGTTCCTTTTTTCCCCAAACTTATTTACATGGCTTCGCAAATAAGGTTCAATATTGATGTCTACATGTAGGTCTTGTCTTTGAAATGTACAAAATTTTATAAATATCCTATAAATATTAACTACTAATGTCGATTCTTTATTTTGAGCAATAAAGTGACACCACACACACACACACACAGACTCACAAAGCATTGAGCCTCTAAATACATATCCCTGTTCCCAAATATTTTTTTTT